AGCTCCTCCAGGAGAAAAGATTACTGGAGAAACGACTGAGGGACACAGGCAAAAGGCTACTGGGAAAGAGAAAAAGAAGAGCGCTTAATATGAAGGCCCGGGCCTTGCAGCTGACAGCAAAGCAGTCTCTTTTTGAATACGCCTGTGGCATCAAAAGAGAGAACCAGCAGTCACGGAAGGAATTACTGCAGCTAACTGAGCAATCCCAGAAACTAACGGCTACTGAAAGCCGCTTAAAAAACCGGAAGCAGCAGCTGCAGCAGGAACGGTGTTATGTGGAGAGCTTAATCAGGGTGAGGCAGAGACTGCAAGGAAAGCATAATCAGTGCCTAAACAGACAGGATGCTCCAAAGACCACACCCGGGCTTCCCTAAGCCACTGAATCAAAGATTAATCCAGAGTAATTCCTAAAATAACACTGATTAAATAAGAACTGGAGCACGTACTCTTAAAATGCTACATTAACTTGGTTAGGAAGGCTTTTGAATTCCAGATTGCTATTTTAAAATCTCCATCATCATGTGTTGGTGTAAAGGATTAGATGCTTTTATCCAACAGTCCTACTAGGTATCTGGTAACCAGCTTTCCTTAGCTAGCTTTTTCTTTAAATACTCGTCAATAAACAAGATATTCCACAAACCTCCAGTTAACCTAACACATGACCCTAAGCTAGCCATTTACCATACATCAAACTAGCTAACGGAAACCAACCTAAATGCAGTATCTTCGTGGCTAAAATTGAAAAAAAAAAAAAAACAAAACCTAAGGAAGTGAAAACAGTTGTGATTTATTTTATTTAGCTAAATTTGGTTTATTTATAGAGACAGTACCTTTTAGGATAGCATTCCAAATACTTTGAATAGCATTCTGCTCAGTAAATAACCAGTATCAGTTTATTCTCATTCCTTTTGACAGACTTAGCAGACAAAAGCGGTTCTTACAAACTCTTTGTACGTTTGTGCCAGTGACCAGGTAGCTCCTTCTGTAGTTTTCTCCTAAGTAAAAAAGTATTCTGGTAACAGCAAGTCCAGTAAGTGCTAGGCAGAGTGACTTTTCATCTGATGCTAAGCCCCTACAAGTTTAGGTTTAAGTAAATTGAGAAGGTAAGAGAAGATGAAGGACTTATATTAGGTCAGCTCTTACAGGTGCACTTTCTAGTACATGAAGTATTTTTTATAATTAATGTGTGCCATATGTTTATTCTCATTTAGTCAAACGATAAATTGTATTTTAAATCATATATTTTCAGGATATATATATATATATATAGTATATATATATGTAAAATTCTACAACATTGAAGTTGGACTAGTGATTTATTTGAATGCTGAATCCTAGTATAGGAATATAATCTCAATAGCATTGGTCCTCTATGGGAAAATAGGATCAACTCTTCCCCAGAAATTGTGATGAAAAACTTCAAAATAATTTTCCTGAGTTTTCAGCTTGATTTACATGTAAAGTGAATTCCCTTAAAATTGGATTTAAAAAGGATTCTCCTTCAATGTGCCTTTATCTTCGAGCTTTAACAACTTTTCTGTTAAATATGTAGTTTCTTTTTTATTAAACAATGTTATTAAATAAAAACATTTGTCCACTGGGTTTATTACTGTTCCAGTGATAAAACACATTTTCTACTTCATCACTTTTGTATTACCACTCTTGCATCTAATTCACACGTGCAAATAACTAGTTTTAATGCCGCAATTAAGATTTTAGCATGCAGATACTTTAATATAAATCTCAATTTGTGAGCTGAAAATACAGAAAGACTGAACAAGGGAAGCATGGTGTCCAAGACATACTTGAAGGCCTATTCTCTGGATGCAAAAACCCTAAGGCAATATATTTCTAAGGCTGATAAGAAGTTGGAAAGCAGGAAGGACATTAGTTCTTCTGTTAATTCCCCTCCTGCCACTGGTGTGTCCCAATTATCTAATTCAGGAGTGGGTAACTCCCACCTGATGTTTATTTTTACTTCTTATCATACCAGATAGTGGATGTGGCATACTGCTTGTGGCTGTCCCTTCCAGAGTGAGGGCTTGAAGACATTAAAAGCTGAATGATACCTGATTTCATACTTTGAAATGCATATCCCTAGGTGACCATTAAGTTGGCCAACTAAGATTTCAGTCTACATTTTTGTCTGCTTTGCTACTTAGAAAAATTACACAGGGTTATGTTACAGAAAGCAAGTTTAGATGGAAAAGACCTCTGAGGTGAAGTTGAAGACCTGCTATGAATGCTAAATGAAGCACACAATGCAAAACAAGAAGAAACCATTCTAGGCAGAGGCAACAGTGAATGCAGATGCCTTAAGATGGTAATAAGCTTGGTAGGTTCAAGGATCAGAAAGGTATGTGTATAAAGTGTAGCTGAGGAATGGTCAGGGAACATGGGAAGAAAGAAAGGTGAGGCTCTTAAGGCTAGCAGGAGTTGTGAGCACAGAGGCCTAGGCCAAGGGCTTTTAGCAGGTGAATGAGGTCTGATGTACAATTTTTAAAACTACAGCTGTTATGTGGAGTATATCCAAGCTAGAAAAAAGTGGAAGGAAACCAATTAGGAAGATATTGTAGTCTAGGCAAGAGATGATGATGGCTTAGATTGGAATAGCAGAAGTAGAGTGAACAGATTCAAAATGTAATTGATGGTAGACAGGACTTGCTAATGGATTTGCTATGAGAAAAGAGAAAGGAATCAAAATGAAGCTGGAGTAAATTTCTAAAATGTTCTCTTTTAAGGAGAAGATGTGCAGAATATATTTTTCTTTTTTTACGTTTTTTTTGAGACAGGGTCTTGCTGTGTCACACAAGCTGGAGTGCAGCAGCGTAATCGCAGCTCACTGCAGCCTCTCCAGGCCCAAGCAGTCCTCCCATCTCAGCCCCATGGGACTACAGGTACACACCACAATGCCCAGCTAATTTTATTTTTTGTAGAGATGAGGTTTCACCACATTGCCCAGCTTGGTCTAGAACTCCTGGGCTCAAGCGATCCTTCAGCCTCAACCTCCCAAAATGCTGGGAATACAGGCGTGAGCCACCATGCCCTGCCCCAGACATTGAGACATATGCATGATAAAAGAAACCCTACTCAATTTTATAGGTTGTATAGTATTTTACTGTATGATTATATAGTAATTTATCCATTCTGATAACAGATAATTATTGTGTATTAGAGTAGGCTAACAAGAGACCCAAGAATGTACAATGTCTCAAAAGACATTTATTTCTCGCTCACTTAGTCTCAGATACATGTTCCTGATTGGCAAGTGGCTCTCCTTCAGGAGGTGATTCAGGGAGTCAACTATCTTCATTTTGTGTTCTTCCATCTCCTAGGGCCCCATCACTATCTGCATTTAGCTGGAAGAAGGGTGAAGAAAGCTTGGACATACACGCACTCAAAACTTCTAGCCTGCAAGTGGCATTCATTACTCCACTCACACTCCATGGGAGTTAGCTGGCTTCTCCTTCACTACAGAGACTGGAGGGAAGGGGAACAACTGGGAAATATAGTCTAGCCATTTGTTCTATAATCCCATAACTTGCAAAGGTGAAGTTATGGGATTTCAGATCCCACCGATCTCCGATACGTGTTTTCAGTGTTTCTCTATTGTATACTGTACTGCCATAATCATTGCTTTTTGTGTCTCTTGGTATGCCTGAACAAGAGGAGTTTCTCTGTATTTAACCAGGAGAGAAACTGCTAAGTCTTCAGGTACATAGCTTCAACTTTGCTAGATATTGCCAAATAACTTTTGAAGTGGTTGTTATCAATTTGCATTTCACACCATGTCTGAAAGTTCATAATACTGTCAGACTGTTTATGTTAGTCTAATGAATTAAAAAAAAAAAAAAAAAAAAAAAAAAAAAAAAAAACGTTAAAAGCCAATACTGCGATTAGAATAGTCTTATAGAGTACTGCCAATCCCTGGTCTTGATCAGGAAAAAGAAAAGGAATGCCTGCAAGGGGGTCTCTGGATGAGACTGGCCAAGTTTCCTGTACTAATTCACTTTAAACTATTCATTTTAACCAGCATAGTTCAGGAACTAAATAACTACTGAGACAATTGCATAGAACTTATTTCAAACTCACCCCCATCTCTAGCCATCTTCTTACCCCCATACAATGTCAAGGAGTCATGCAGCAGGTCGGCGTCAAAGAACACTGGAAACATCTTTCTGAGAGTCATTTATTTCTTTTATCATTGCCAAACATTACCCAGGTCTTACTCACCAGAAATTAACATAGCTTCTTCATTTCTCCTCCCTGATAACCCTCATCTTCTGAAAGGGCTTTAAGGGCACACTGCCAACGAAAATGCAGAGTGGATATACCATGTCCTTAACTTGTTTCAAAACTACCTATTCTGGCAGTATCCAATTTCAGGTTTCAATGCTCCCTTGTTTGAAAGTGGTCTTCACAAAAGCCCACATTTTAAAGCTATTTGGAGGAGCACACAGAGTTAAAGTGGTAATAGCCTTTCAGAATTTGAAAAGGTAGTACTTGTCTGTATCAGGGTTCATTTTGTATGTGGCATATGCCACAAAATAGGCAAGAATATATAAGACCGATATTTATGCAAAAGGGGGAAGAGAATCCAGAAACACGACAACAATGCTGCTCTAACCAATGTTCCAGAGAAAGCCACTCTCAAAGAGAAATAACCCATTAAACATGACCAGGTAGGCGTGAGGTACAGAAAAAGAATTTTTCTTTCCAGCTCCAGATAAATATCTACATCTGGTGTCAAAGTCTCAGGATATAAAGAGGATAGAACGCCATATATAAAAGAGGACAGAGGACAGTATTCTCAGAAAATTCAGACAGAGGTTGGCTAAGGGGATGGCTGAAAACTTAGTAAGGTGTAGACCAGGCGTCCCCAAACTGCGGCCCCCTGAGGCCATTTATCCGGCCCCCCTGCCGCACTTCAGGAAGGGGCACCTCTTTCATTGGTGGTCAGTGACAGGAGCACAGTACGTGGCGGCCCGCCAACGGTCTGAGGGACAGTGAACTGGGCCCCTGTGTAAAAAGTGTGGGGACGCCTGGTGTAGACTAACAAGTGAGGTAAAGTCCAGGAAGAAGGAATGCGCACCTTGGTTTTCCCTTAGTGACACTACCAGGAGCATTAGGAGACTGTCAAAATGTCAAGGACAATGTGATATTTCTCAATTCTTAAAACCAAAGAAGCAAAAATAAGCTTCAGAGGGCAACTGATCACAGCAATGGATGAGGCCTCAGGCTCCAGGAAAGTTGGGGCAATATTTATTGCTGCTTTAACTTTTTCTTTCCAGTCATTTTAATGTTTGGGACACATTACTCCTAAGGCTGCTTTTCACGTCTGTGGGTCTAGTCACTGCTACTTGGTACAAACAAAGCATTTCCCAGTATAAACAGCATAGGGAAGTTCATCCTAAATCCATTTTCTTACTTTTTTACTTAAAACTATATTGAGAGGACAAATAGCCACCATAAAGTTTGTTTCCCAAGGAGACAGGGTAATCTTATTATATGAATTAAAACAGTTCTAGCTTCTAGACTTGTTATATCACAAATACAAAATGATAAATCAGTTATGGTTTTAAAAAATTAGTTTGGAATGATTTCACAAGCTAGATGATGGAGCAGCTACTAAATCAATGGAGCTTCCAAGAACATTCTATACCCCAGGAAGGAAAGGACAACCAAAGAGGTTTCTTAGTTTTGTACAGAGCAAGAGGAGCCTATAGTTGGCCTTGAGAGGGAGCTCTTTGGGCAAGATCAGAAAAAAACAAGAGGACTCCACGAGGAATAGCAGGAAAACCTACTAAAAGGGGAGGGGGGAATCAAAGTGGAAGAAGGGAAGACTGAAATTTACACAGGAGGAAGGAGCTGAGAAAGTCACAGCCTTACACAAACAGCTGAAAGAATCTTCACTCAGTCCTCCCAGCACAGGTCCCCGTGACAACAGCATCACATCTGCTTTCCTAAGAGTGCTTTTACACTGACTGCCTATTTCCTTCCTCGTTTATGATTAGTCTTTGGAAGCTTTACTTTCTGGAACTGTGCTGGCACTGGCTCCTGCTCTGGTTCCTTACAGGAGGCTGACACTACCAGTTCCTCATTATTCCTCCTCTGATCCTTCCCTACTCTAAGACTCAGCTCTGTCTCGGGAAGCTCAATGCCAGGCTGCTGCCGCCTTCTTAGACACCTTCTGCTCCTGTGCTGCTGCCTCCGCTTTTCTTCTTCTTGCTGCCGCTGCTTTATCTTCATCAGCTTTTCAAAGCTTTTGGTTGTTGTTGGGTTTACAACGAACCAATCCTAGAGAGGCAAAACAGAAACATCATCCAGTCGAAAACATAGTGAAGAACATAAAGAAAGGTGGAGGAAGAAAGGAAAAAAGGCATGATTAGGGCAGAACACAGTAAGAAAGAAACAGATATGGAACCATATCTCAGGATTCTATATTTTAAACTGGAGAAATCAATACAGAGCAGCTATTATAAGCACATATTTTGAAAGGTAGAATTCCAGGTACTTTAAGTCGGTTTACTTAGCATTATCCCACTCTTGTACCTCCTGCAGTATAAATCTCATCATGAGATATACCACACTGAGCCATAGGAGATTTTTATTTCATGATGGCATCGTAGCTAAGAGCATGAATTCTGCAGCCAGACCTCCTGAGTACAAATCCCAGCTCTGTTTCTAAATATGTGACCACAGGCAAATTACTTAACATTTTTGAGGCTCACTTTAAAAAATTAAGGGGTAGGGGACGAAATCCAATTACAAAGTATTTTTGCCAAAAAAGAAAGAACTTCAATCTTATCAAGTGATCTGTTCAACCTTCTAAATCTATCAATTGATAGGAAATACCCAGGATAGGGAGTTGAGCCCAATCTCTCTACCCCACTGCAAGACACTCTGCAGTGGTCCCTGTACCTCAAAAACAAACAACAACAAAGGAAAGGAAAGGAAAAAGGAAAGAAAGAGAAATAGCCAGGATACAGGAATATTACCATAGGATAAAATCAGCAAAATTCCAGAATATGGGCATATGCATGTAACAAGTGATCTGGTTTCTTCAATAAATGGCAAATTTGTAAAAAGGGAGAGAAAGCTTTTAGACTTGCACAGTGCAATAAGATAGCTAGTAGCCACGTATGGTACATGATGTGTTTAAATATGAGTAGAACGAATTTAAGACAGGCTTCCATGTAAAATATACGCCAAATTTTAAAGACTTGGTATGAAAAAAATGTAAAATATCTCAATAGTTGAGTTACATGTTAATAATTTTAGATATATTGGGCTTAATAAATTATTTACATTAATTTCACCTTTTTAAAATACTTGTTTAATGTGGCTACTAGAAAATTTTAAATTATATGCATGGCTCACAGTACATTTTTTTTGGATAGTGCCACTCTAGACTAAAACAGACAAATGCAATATTTGGACCTTGTTCTAGATACTAATTTGAATAAATCAACTCTGAAAAAACATGATAAGACAATCAGGGAAATTTAATAACTAGATATATGTTAATGCTAAAATTCTTTTTTAGGTGTAATGTTTGTGGTCCTATGTTTTCAAAAGTCTTTATCTCTTAGAGATACATAGTGAAAGAAGCAATTACAGTGGAAATTATATGTGGAATTTGCTTTAAAGTAAGGTTTTAAGGGAGGAGAAAAGTGAGGTTAGAAATGACACAAGATTGGCCATACACTGATGATTGCTGAGAATGACTGACAGCATACTTGGTTCATTATGCTATTTTCTCTACTTTCATGTGTTTGAAATTTTCTGGTAAAAAAAAAAGTAGTATAAGAAAATGTGGAGGGAGGAAGAAATAGGGTAAAGATGTTTTACCAACCACAAAATTCATAACTATAGGTATAAATCAATGAACAAATGCCTGGGTACATGCCCCAAGCCAAGTGAAATTTGTTGGTTCCAACTCTGTTGGTTCTAACTTTTTAGGAAGAAAATGGACAAACCAGTTAACTATATAAAGGCCAGATTTTGTCAGGAGATAATTGCCTTTTTTTTTTTTTTCTTTAACAAAGTCTCACTCTGTCGCCCAGGCTGGAGTGCAGTGTCGCAATCTGAAGTCACTGCAACCTCCATCTCCCGGGTTCAAGCAATTCTCCTGCCTCGGCCTCCCAAATAGCTGGGATTACAGGTGTCCACCACCACACCCAGCTAATTTTTGCATTTTTAGTAGAGACAGGGTTTCACCATGATGGCCAGGCTGGTCTCAAACTCCTGACCTCAGGTGATCCACCAGCCTCGGCCTCCCAAAGTGCTGGGATTACAGGTGTGAGCCACCGCAACTGGTCGATAATTTGTAAATACTTCCTGAAGCAAAAAAAAAAAAAAAATACACTATTATTACTAAAAAGCTATGACTGCCTTCAGAGGACATGCCAGATTTTGGTTAGGGATTCTGAAAGCTTATGCCAGTAAAGCAACAGAAACCAAATTTTGTGGAAGTAACTAAAGCCCACATTGTTAAGTACTATCATATTTGAGAGCAGAGAATAAGTAAAGGTGCTCCCTTTATTTTCCCACATCAGGCAGCTGCAGTAAGATATTCCAAGAGAATGCACATTGTATTCCTAAGCTGTTGTAGTAAGAGTATTTAATTATATCATAAATAATTTATCTGTTCACCTGTATTACGTAAAAAACCTTTCCCAAGAGAAGATTCTTGACCTTCTGAACTTTAAGGCATTTTTATACACAATTTTTAAATTTTTTTATTTTGAAAAATTACAAACCTTCAGAAAAGTTGTCATAGTTCAATGAACAATCAAATTTACCATTGTTAATCTCTTTCCTGCCTGTCTTCCTTCTTTACTTCTCTCCTTCTTTCTTTTGCTGAACCATGCGCAAGTTAGTTGCAGACATCCTAATACTTCATGCCTAAACACTTCAGCATATATCTGCCTAAGAACAAGGGTATTCTGCATGACTACAACTATCACCTTTGGGAATGTTAACAATGACACAATACTATTTATTATTTAATATAGTCAGTATTCAAATTTCCCCAACTGTCTCAAGAATGTCCTTTATAGTTGTTTGATGCAGTATTTTATTAAACAGCATTAAAAACAGGTTGCTGGAAGACACTAAAATGCTAGAAAGCATGAATGTATAGCGATCACTATGAAACAAGAATTCCAAACATGTAAATTTAACCTGATTCCCAAATGTTTGACTTAACTGGATTTAAAAGAATTACAAGAGTTCAGGCTGGGTACGGTGGCTCATGCCTGTAATCCCAGCACTCTGAGAAGCTGAGGCGGGCAGATCACCTAAGGTCAGCAGTTCAAGACCACCCTGGGCAACATGGCAAAACGATGTCTCTACTAAAAATACAAAAATTAGCTGGGCGTGGTGGCCAGTGCCTGTAATCCCAGCTACTCAGGAGGCCGAGATGGGGAGAATTGCTTGAACCCGAGAGGTAGAGGTTGCAGTGAGCCAAGATCACATCACTGCCCTCCAGCCTGGGCAACAGAGCAAGACTCTGTCTCAAGAAAAAAAAAAGAAAGAAAGAAAGAAAAAGAAAAGTTCAAGGATGCTTATAATCAGGGTAATTTTTTTTTTTTTTTTTTTTTTTTTTTTGAGCCAGCATCTCAATCTAATGCCTAGTACAATCAGCTCACTGTAGCCTTAAACTCCTGGGTTCAAGTGATCCTCCCACCTTGGCCTCCCAAAGTACTGGGATTAGAGGCATGAGCCACCACACCCACCCCTCACACTGACTTCAAATACTTTCAAAGAAAAAAACAATTATACATCTAATTTTAGAGAATATTTTAACTCTAATGTCTCTGGTAACCACTTTAGAGTTACTTTCCTTGACAGCCTTAGCCCATAACAACAGGGACAAATCTACCTTTCTTATGGCTTATATATAAGATCCAGAGGATTACAAAAACCTCACCTCAGCATGGACAGAGTTGATGTGATACTTGACACCACTCTCTGACACAAATTCTTTCTGACATAGAAGACATTTATACTTTCCAGCCACAAAGTTTCCCTATTTCCAAGAAAGAAACAAAAATGAATTATTGGTAAATTCAGAAACACATACCTGGGCTATGTGTAGGGATTATTAGAGATGAAAAGAGGGAATTCTACTTCAGCAAAGATGAGAAGGAAAAAGATCCAATAGAGTAATACATTTAGGAAAACCAGCTTGGATGGATTATTACCAACATAAATCCATCCTAGTGAAATTCTGTTCCAATCACCCACCCCACTTCAACACAACCTGACAGTCTCCTGCTTTTTCTTAGGTAGCATGCCGTATCTTCCTACCTTCCTATGCTCCTTTCACTTCACTTCCATGTTGTCTTGGTTCCTCCCCCAAAATGATCAAATGCCCAAAATTCACCAGAGGCACCAATGTACAATTCTTCCCACTATGATCCACTGCTGCAAAAAGCGCCTTCCAGAATTAGAAGAGTACCATCCATAATACCTAGTTTAAAGACTCAGAAACTAGGATCAAGATGACAAACTCCTAAGCATTACTGGACAGATCTGGTTTAGATGCCTACAACTCCCTTGTTGCCTTGAACTGAGACTTCTCTCCCCTCCTGAAGCTTCAGGTTTCCATGGTTTTCATTTTGTGTGAGGAGATTGGAAAATGGCAGCAATTCCCATGGCTGGTAGGTTGTAGGACACCTGGGTCAACATGGAAAAGATTCAGTGAGGTGAATGGCTGTTAGCCTGACACCCTATCCCACCTCCCATCCCCAGAGGCCACTATGATTCTGATGAGTTTACAGGATCTTTACCAATCCAGATAAGCACATATAAGGTGATTCTATAAAGCCTTAGGCCCACCCAAATAGGGTAGGCCCAGTGTAGGAGATGCTCTAATGAAAGGAGCTAAATCTCTTGGAATTCATGGATAGGAACTCAGAACAAATACGTTTTTCTCTAGATTCCTTTAAATTGATAATGACTTATGACTATGGTGATCTTTTCTAAGTCTTGGACATCCCCCTGACATCCCACCCAATACCAGATCAAGAATCTTTGAGATATAAAAAACTAAAGCAGCCTCTGAAGATAATGGTAAACAGGACAACTAGCTGTTCACCTAAACTGAATTCTCTTCCATGTCAGACTACTTTAGAGGACATGTTAAGATATTAAGTTTTAAAAGTTACAAACCAATGTACAAGAGCCCAGGTGAGCTTTAAGGCCAGATACACTACTGTAGACAGCCTCACAACCCTGAAAAAGAGAAGAAATTGTGTGAAGACTATGTCAAATGGCTCCCTTCTCTGAACAGTCTGGCCATTTACGCTGACCAACTCTACATTTGAAGAAAGGAAACCAGTAATTTGTGCCACAAACAAACAAAATAGAATATACTTGCAAACCACAAAAGCAGGAAGGAAAATCAAGGAAAAGGAAAAGAAACAAGGTGAACAAATTGTTTAGGAAAGATTAAGCCATTTCCTTCCCTCGATATTTTCTCAGACACTTAAGAGAAACACAGAAAATTATACAGTTAGGTTTTTTTTTAAATCTGCTTTCTTTAGTGCAAATGTGTTCCCACTTCTTTTATATTTACTCCTCTGCAAAGTACTGACTACTATAGCTGTGATAGTTTAAAGATGGCTCTCTCCTTCATCTTGACTCTAGAAAATATAAAAATAAAAATATTTTAAGAATGGTAAAAATAAAGATGGCTGCAAATTCTCTTCCACTCTTGCCATCAAGGAGTGGAGTCTATTTACCCTTCCGGTGAATCTGGGTTAGTCCCATGATTCCTTTGATCAATAAAACACCATGAAAGTGATGTTGTGCAAATTCTGAAGCTAGATTTTAAGAGAGCTACAGCCCTGCTTTCATGTTCTCAAAATACTCTCTGAAGTCAGTCACTGTGTACCCTGCTGGTAGCCCAACTAACTCTGCTAGAAAGAGAGGCCATATGGACAGCCAAGCTCCCAGATAAATGCAGCTGCACAGAAACCATCTTGAACATTCCAGACTCACTGAACTTCTAGCTGAATGCACTCTCATGAGTGATCCTAGCTGATGCTACATATCACAGGAGAACTGCCCTGCTGAGCCCTTACAGAATTATTGCTCTACTGAATTATGAACAAATATAATAATTGTTGTTTTAAGCCACCAAGGTCCAGGTGTTTTGTCATGAAGGAATAAATAACAGAAGCAAGAGCAGATGCTTAATAAACATTTACTGAACAAATGAATGAGAAAGAACCACCTGGTTAGGACACTGAATACGATGATATTTCTTGATGTCTGTCTTCCATTTATGTAGTACTTCCTGGCTGAAGGTAGGTAGCCCTGGGCGAGTATATTTTAACTACAAGACAAGGCAAGACAATAACAAACATTTTATTAGATGAATCCACCTCCCAACCAAAATATCCCAAAAATTTCACACCCAACTCTTTAGGTTATGTAATTCTGAAATCTAGGTATATTTTTATATGCAAAAAAAACTGTAAAATGTAAGACCCTGTAAAGTACCTGAAACTGGTAAGTATAATGGTCTCTTGTTTAGTCTTAGGAAAGTTTGATTTTTAACAGAGGACAAGAGACTCAGATATAATAATATTTCATCTACAGTTTAAAAAGAAAAAAAAAGTTACAGAGCACTATATAGAATTAAAATATGTGTTAAAAAAGAAAGATTCACAGGTTCTAATGATTAGGAAAGAAAAAATAAATTTAAAAAATGTTAAAAGAGAGAGAGGGATATAAAGACATATTTGTACACTGATTTATAGAAATAAATGTGGATGGGTAAAAGGTTAGAAGTGTATAAATCAAAATATTAACTGGTATTCTCTGGTAGAATTTTGAATCATTTTAGTATTTTTTCCTACTTATCTGCATTTCTAATTTTTCTTCAATTATAACATGCTAATTTTGGTATTTTTAAAATTCTAAAACAAAAAATTAAGGTTTAACATAAAACAGGGATGTGAGAGAAATCAGGGAACAGAATACATAACATTTGCTTATACTTCAAAAGTAGAATTATTTCTAGCACTTCCATTTATATGCTTTGACATGAGTTGATCTCTCCTTACAACTACAACTAGAGTTTCCAGAGAAGAGAAAGCAACAGGCACAGACAGTTCTTGCAAAGTCTACCAGGGGTAAATAGCTGTATTTCTGGTGAGTAAATAATCTTCCTGCTTTGACAATGGAAGTGTCTGAAAAGAAGCTGATTCTCTGTGACAAAACAACACACCCTAAGTCCATAAAGGTAATGGAGGAAGTAAGGAAGGTAGCCCAAAGAATCTCTAGTAAATATATAAAAGAATAGAGTACAGGATGGGCATGGTGGCTCATGCCTGTAATCCCAGCACTTTGGGAGGCCGAGGCAGGCAGATCACGAGGTCAAGAGATCAAGACCATCCTGGCCAACATGGTGAAACCCCATCTCTACTAAAAATACAAAACAATTAGCTGGGCATGGTGTTGCATGCCTACAGTCCCAGCTACTCGGGAAGCTGAGGCAGGAGAATTGCTTGAAACTGGAAAACGGAAGTTGCAGTGAGCCGGGATCGCACCACTATATTCCAGCCTGGCGACAGAGTGAGACTCTGTCTCAAAAAAAAAAAAGAGTACAGAGTACTTTTATAGAGTAGAGGTGGCTTTATATATAAGCACTTAGTCTCCTCTGAAGCTAGTATAAATGGGCCTATCTAAAAATTTTTTTATAGCTCCACAGTAAATAGCTTATATAAATATAATTATATATAAATATATTATATATGATATATATTATATTTGCTATCGTATTTATATAAACTATTACTATACAGTAATAAACTATCATAGTTATGTAAATGAAGTACTATCGAGCTATTAAAAAAAAGATGAAGATGATTTCTATGAACACATATGGAGCAATTTCCAGGATACACAGTTGACCCTCGAACAACACAAGTTTGAACTGTGCAGGTCCATTTGTAGTGGGTTTTCTCAAAGAAGGATCAAAAATACTGTACTTTCAATACACAAAACCCATCGATACAGAAGCCCAACTTTTTATATACATGAGTTTGGCAGGGCAGAACTTATGTATGCACAAATTTGGGTATACAAGGGGTCCTGGAACCAATTCCTCACATGTACTGAGGAACAACTGTATTATTAAGTGAAATAAAGCAGAGTACCAAAAAAAAAAAAAAAAAAAAAAAAAAAAAATCTGTAGTAAGAAAGAGAGGATATAAGAAAATATGCATGTAAAAATACAAAAAAAAAAAGAAAAAAATATACATGTATCTGATGATCCGTCACATAAAAATACAGGAAGGATAAACCAAAAATGAATGAATCTGGTTATCTTTGGGGGTAGGTGAAAACACATTAGAAAGAAAAGGGGAATGGAAATGGAATAATTGGGAGGAGTAGTGACTCAGAATATATCTCTTTGCATAGGTCTGATTTAGAACCATGGTGGTTTCATATGCTCCCAAAATAAATAAATAGTTACATTAAGTAGGATGTAGGGGAAACCCAAAACTTAATAAATATAACACATGTGCTTATATTATTAAGTTTTGGGTTTCCCCTACATCCTAACTTCTTTCTCCTAAATATGATATATATCATATATAATATATTTATATATAATTATATTTATATAAGCTATTTACTGTGGAGCTATAAAAAAATTTTTAGATAGGCCCATTTATACTAGCTTCAGAGGAGACTAAGTGCTTATATATAAAAATAAGTACTTGTGTTATTTTATTATCAAAACTTACTTAAAATAACCTATTACAGGGCCGGGCGCGGTGGCTCAAGCCTGTAATCCCAGTGCTTTGGGAGGCTGAGGCGGGTGGATCACGAGGTCAAGAGATCGAGACCATCCTGGTCCAGATGGTGAAACCATGTCTCTACTAAAAATACAAAAAATTAGCTGGGCATGGTGGCACACGCCTGTAGTCCAAGCTACTCAGGAGGCTGAGGCAGGAGAATTGCCTGAACCCAGGAGGCGGAGGTTGCGGTGAGCCGAGATCATGCCATTGCACTCCAGCCTGGGTAACAAGGGCGAAACTCTGTCTCAAAAAAAAAAAAAAAAAAAAAGAGTTTTTTAAAAGGAATACACACTGCTTATATGTACATCAGGAAACAGTGGAAAGACACAAGAAGCTAATAAGTATGGTTAACCATGGGGACAGGACAGAACAAGGACAAGGTGGCTAACTCAATGTTTATCATCATTTTCACTTTTTGAACCAATTGAAGAATATGTAACTTACTCAAAAAGATTAAATTTTTATATTTAAGGAAGAATAATGCCTTTTACCTATACACTGTCAAAAATATAAACTGGGTCATGCATAGTGGCTCACGCCTATAATTCTAGCACTTTGGAGGGCCAAGGCAGCCAGACTGCCCAAGCTCAGGAGTTTGAGATCAGCCTGGGCAAGACGGCAAAACCTCTTATCTACAAAAACAAAAAAAAAATTTTTTTAATTAGCCAGGTGTGGTTGTATGCGCCTGTTATCCCAGCTACTTGGGAGGCTGAGGCACAAGAATCACCTGAACCTGGGAGGCGGAGGATGCAGTGAGCAGAGGTGGCACCATCGCACTCCAGCCTGGGCAACAGAGCAAGACTCTGTCTCAAAAAATCAATCAGTCAATCAATCCATCAATCTATCTATCTATATCTCTAGTTGATGATTTTAGGAAAGCATCTGCTGGATGAGAATACCCAACTTTATCAACGAGTTAACAAATATTGATTGATTGATTAATTGATTGAAATGAAGTCTTGCTCTGTGGCCCACGCTAGAGTGCAGTGGTATGATCTTGGCTCACTGCAACCTCTGCCTCCCAGGTTCAAATGATTCTCCTGCCTCAGCCTCCTCAGTAGCTGGAACTACAGGAGTGCACCACCACACCTAGCTAATTTTTCTTTTTTGAGACAAAATTCCACTCATTGCCCAGGCTGGAGTGCAATGGCGCAATCTCATCTCACTGCACCCTCTGGGTTCCAGGTTCAACCGATTCTCCCACCTCAGTTTCCTGAGTAGCTGGGATTACAAGCACCCACCACAACGCCCAGCTAATTTTTGTATTTTTAGTAGAGAAGGGTTTCACCACATTAGCCAGGCTGGTCTCGAACAGCTGACCTCAGGTGATCAGCCTGCCTCGGCCTCCCAGAATGCTGGGATTACAGGTAATAGAGCCACTGTACCCAGCCACTAATTTTTTAATATTTTTAGTAGAGACAGGTTTCATCATGTTGGCCAGGCTGGTCTTGAACTCCTGACCTCAGGTAATCCTCACGCCTTGTCTTCCCAAAGTGTTGGGATTATAGGTGTGAGCCACTGTGTTCGGCCAGTTAACAAATATTTAAATTTCCTTATGACATCCTATGCACAGTGAAACCTGACTGTAATATCATGAGATAAATATCACTGTGCAAAACCCACTTTTAAATTGGATTTAGATAGCCATGTACTTTAGCCTGTAGCAGGAAAAAAAAATGTAGAAATAAGTCCAAAACAAGAAAGTGTATCTGATATTCAGAAATACAATCCAATTCCTTGGACAACAAGAGCGTCCCCCAGGTGGGCACACCTATCACCTTGGGACTGATTTTTAAACCAAAAAAGATGTAAGTGTTAGAAACTAGAATATGATCTTATTTTCTTTCTTTTTTCTTTTTTCTTTTTTTTTTTTTTTTCAGTGTTAGGGAATAGAGAGAGATGGAGTTCAGGAGGAGAAGACAGGCTTCCATGAGAGAGTGTGGAAGGGGACTCCAGAGGGAAAATCCAGGAGAGAGAAAGACAGCTTCCACAAAAGGAGTGTTTGTGGAAGGGGACCCAAACATGGAGTCCTTCCTTTTTTTTTTCCTTCTTTGAGATGGAGTCTCACTTTGTTGCCCAGGCTGAAGTGCAGTGGCACAGCACTGGCTCACTACAAACTCCACCTTCTGGGTTGAAGCAATTCTCCTGCCTCAGCCTCCTGAGTAGCTGGGATTACAGGCACATGCCACCACTCCTGGCTAAGTTTCATACTTTTAGTAGAGACAGGGTTTCATCATGTTGGTCAAGCTGGTCTCAAACTCCTGACCTCATGATCTGCCGGCCTCAGCCTCCCAAAGTGCTGGGATTACAGGTGTGAGCCACCACACCCGGCCTGACCTTATTTTCTTGTAAGACATAACATTCCTCTCACATACGTCAGAGCCCTATGCCAAATGTGAACTTCTTGATACCCTGGAGAATACAAGGCCCTTCCCAGCACTTTGGGAGGCCGAGGCGGGCGGATCATAAGGTCAAGAGATGGAGACCATCTTGGCCAACATGATGAAACCCCATCTCTACTAAAAATACAAAAATTAGCTGGGCATAGTGGCACGCGCCTGTAGTCCCAGCTACTCAGGAGGCTGAGGCAGGAGAAATGCTTGAACCTGGGAGGCGGAGGTTGCAGTGAGACGAGATTCCACCACTGCACTCCAGCCTGGCACCTGGAGATGGTGCAAGACTCTGTCTCAAAAAAAAAAAAAAAAAAAGGTGGGGGGGGGCGCCCTTCGCTCCTATCTTACTCCTTATTATGTATCCCTTCAACCTGTTCCCAAGACTATCCTATAGTCATATAGCCCTGTCTCCTTTTGTTTAAATAATGCCCCTTCCTCTGTGATCTATTCTAATAAGTCCAAACAGGTTCTGCACCCCTCAGAAGTACGCTTGGGGCCATGTAGGGGAAAAACAAAAGTATCATGAAGAAAAAGGCCAAGTAGAGAAGGCTTTGGGCTCACTACTCACAGTTACTCAGAGCAAATCTGTTTTTAAGTTATTTTATATACTGGTGTTTTGCATAAGATTTTATTTTGAAAAAAGCGGGGGAGAGGAGTTCTGTTACTACAAACAAACTAAAACCACTTATCTAAACTAAATATAAACTACTATATATGAACTAGCAAAACAAAACAAAAACACATTAAACAAAGATTAAACAAAAATCTAATCTGGGAATTCAGGTTCCCTCTGGAAGTAGTTCAGAATTAAGAAGGCTCTTTAATTCTGAACTATTTCTTTAAGAAACTTATGAAACAGACTGTCACTCTAGAACCTAACTGAATCCAAACACCGAAACTAGATCAGATGTACTCTATACCCAAGGATAAATAAACAAAATACTATGTATCACATACACACTCAAGTGCATTTACTTTTCTGTATACAGAAGGCACAAGATTAGAAATAATGGTTCCCAAATTGATACATGCTTCTGCCTTACCTTTCGATCATCAGGCACCAGGTCCTGAAGCACCTTCCTCTTGGGCCATTCCTTGGCCAGTTCAGCAGAGGCCAGCTCCTGCAGGTGGTATACAGCTATCTTGGCAGAACGTCTCTGAACTCGGCCTCCACTCTTTGACTCTAGGTTCATTTCCTTTAAGCACTCTGGCTGTCCTGACTCTGGAAAGAAGGAGATCTGCAAGAATGAGACACAGCAAAACATAGGCCTGATAAGTGGCATCCATCAGAGCCAGTGATTAAAGACTGAGCTTCCTGCTCTAAATATCAAAAGAGCTACGTAGTAGATTGTTAACCACTAGCATCAAGTTCCGCCATATTAATGCATATTTTACTGGTAAAAAAGCTTCTTAGGGCCAGGAGTGGTGGCTCATGCCTGTAATCCCAGCACTTTGGGAGGGCAAGGCGGGTAGATCCTCTGAGGTCAGGAGTTTGAGACCAGCCTGGCCAACATGATGAAACACTGTATCTACTAAAAATAGAAAAATTAGCTGGGCGCGGTGGTGGGCACCTGTAATCCCACCTACTCGGGAGTCTGAGGCAGGAGAATCGCTTGAAACCGGGAGGTAGAAGTTGCAGTGAGCCAAGATCATACCACTGCACTCCAACCTGGGCAACAGAGTGAGACTGTCTCAAGAAAAAAAAAAAGAAAAGAAAAGAAAGAAAATCATATACTGAATTAAGCAAAGATTTCTTAGATGCAACAAAAGCATTATCCATAAATGAAAAAACATATAAATTAAACTATACCAAAATCTAAAACTCTGGTCTTCAAAAGACAATGTTAAAAAAGATAAAGAACTTATATCCAGAATGATAAAAAAAAAAACTCATAATATATCCCTAACTTAATAAGACAACAAAATCCTTCCCCCAAAATGAACAAAGGATTTGAACAGAGACTTCATTAAAGACATACAAATCACCAATAAGCACATGCAAAGATGGTCAACAACATTAAGCATTGTTAGTCATTAGGGAAATGAAAATTTACACTGCAGTAAAATACTACTACATACCTAATAGAATGGATCAAAAAAAAAAAAGTGACAATAATAAATGTAGACAAGGATGCAAAGCAACTGGAGTTCTCATACTTTGCTGGTGGGAGTGCAAAATGGCACAGCCACTTTGGGAAACAGTGCAGCAGTTTCTTATGAAGTTAAATATACATTAATCTGTATGACCCAGCAATCTCATTCCTAAGTATTTACCCAAGGGAAATTAAAATTTATTTTCACATAAAAATCTTTTTTGCCAGGTGCAGTGGCTCACATCTATAAATCCCAGGATTTTGGGAGGCCAAGGCAGGCAGATCACTTGAGGTCAGGAGTTCAAGACCAGTTTGACCAACATGGCAAATACCCATCTCTACTATAAATACAAAAATTAGCTGGGCACGGTGGCACATGTCTGTAATCCCAGCTACTCGGGAGGCTGGGGTGGGAGGATGGCTTGAGCCCAGGAGGCAGAGGTTGCAGTGAGCCAAGGCAGCGCCACTGCACTCCAGCCTGGGTGAAACAGCAAGACCCTGTCTCAAAAAAACAAAACACAACCTTTTTGTTTTCCTGTTTTTGAGTCAGGGTCTTGCTCTGTCACCCAGGCTGGAGTGCAGTGGCACCATCTCGGCTTACTGCAACCTCTGCTGGACAGATGCCCATAAAAGTTCTAGCTACAGGGGAATACTTTCAGTTTTAAAAATATAATAATGAGGCCAGGCACAGTGGCTCATATCTATAATTCCAGCACTTTGAGAGGCCGAGGTGGGCAGATCATCTGAGATAGGGAGTTCAAGACTAGCCTAGACAACATGATAAAGCCCTGTCTCTGCTAAAAATACAAAAATTAGCGTAGTGGCACATGCCTATAATCCCAACTACTCAGGGAGCTGAGGTGAGAGAATCACTTAAACCTGGGAGGTGGAGGTTGCAATGAGCCAAGATTGAGCTACTGCACTCCAGCCTGGGTAACAGAGGGAGACTCTGTGAAATGAATAAATGAATGAATGAATGAATGGGCACAGTGGCTCACGTCTATAATCCCAGAACTTTGGGAAGTCAAGGTAAGAGGAATGCTTGAGGCCAGGAGTTCAAGACTGGCCTGTGCTACATAATGAGAACCCTATCTCTATAAAATATTAAAAACAAAAAAATTAGCTGGGCATGTGATACAAGCCTGTATTCCTGGCTACTTAGGAGTCTGAGGCAAGAAGGTGGCTGAGCCCAAGAGTTCAAGGCTATAGTGAGCTATGATCCCACCATGGCACTCCAGCCTGAGAGAGCAAGATCTTGTTTCTTAAAAAAAAGTGTGTTTATGTATATATATGTATGTAATATATAAAAATATATAAGATATATAACATATAAATATAAAATACATAATAATGAGTTTACTTCTGCCTGGACTATTCTTTGAATTTTGATTTATCTAACCTAATAATGTTCAAAAGACAGAAATAACAAAAGGACAAAGAAGACAGAGCACAAGCATTCAGAGATTAAAAGATACAAATGAGGAACCAAACACATATGGGAAGATAGAGGAGTAAGGACTCACCACAAAATACATCCCCAACCAGGGTATAGAAAGGGATCAGTACTCACAGGCCCATGCTCTGACCTCAGGTGATACGCAAGTCCAGCCTTCGACCTATATGGTTTTCCACAGTGGTGACATTTCAGGGTCATCTTTTCCAGCTCTGCAGCCCCTTTGCCACATTTTCTGACATGGTAGAGATATCCCATGATGCTGGTGAAGCTACTGGAGCAACTCTGAACACAGGAGAGAAGGCTAAACTATAATCTTACATCTTTGGACATGATCACTAAATTTCTAAACAGCCGTAAAGTAGTCACCACCACAAAATACAAACAGGCCCTCTGATTTCAGTAGACTCTCTCCAACATCTCCCATCAGCACAACCCTTCCTTGTCTCTGGTCATCCTGCTGTGACCAAGCATGATTTTAAATCAGCTTGGTCAGCCCTTGATAAACTATAACTGTGCATCTACTCTATGTCAGAGCTTCCTCCTTGGTCTGTGATCCAATCCCATCCCAATCAAATACCCAGCAATATGTACCACAGGTCAGCACAGCGAGGGGTTACTGGGATCCTCTTCATCACATTAAAGAAAGGATGGTAAGGAAACCCCATCAAACAAAGGGAAAGGGGAGAAAAATAAATTTTTTTAAATGAGGAAGAAAATAAAGAACTATTAATGAGTTCAAGACCCCAAGATAATATAGAACTAGGAGGTCTATAACGAGGAAGAGAAGAAATGGAAAAGAAGAACGAAACACATTGACCTGAGAATTCAGGGAGAAGGAGTTGGGTCCATGGGTTCCTACCTCACGCATGCACCTGAGCTTTCCCAGTCTCTTTAGAACTGTTCGGAGCCGTTCCCTCTCACTTGGCTCATCTATTTCATCTCCGGCTTTCAAAATGGGCTAGAAATCAAGAGAAGTAAACAAGCATATGATTCATGGAAAACAGACACGGGAAAAAAATATCAGAGGAGAATCAAGGATTGGACTAGCAGATAAGCTGGTGCTGATGAAGCCCAAGTTATCTGACTCCTGGCTTTCTCCATCTTCTCCTGGACAAAGGAAGTGAATATAATGGAAATAGGAGTTCTAAGCCTCTACCTCCCAGAACATAAACCTTTAGACCTAACTCAAATACACAAATATTTATGGATCTACTGCAAAGGTTTCATTGTGCATGACTCTTACTCATACCCTTATAAAATCCAAGAGCTATCTGCACTGAGATATCTACACTCACGTAAGTAAAAGACATCCAGGCTGGGCACGGTGGCTCACAGCTGTAATCCCAGCACTTTGGGAGGCTGAGGCGGTGGATCACCTGAGGTCAGGAGTTCAAGACCATACTGGCCAACATGGTGAAACCCAGTCTCTACTAAAAATAAAGAAACTTAGCCAGGCATGGTGGCATGCACCTGTAGTCCCAGCTACTCGAGAGGCTGAGGCATGAGAATTGCTTGCACCTGGGAGGTAGAGGTTGCAGTGATTGCGCCACTGCACTCCAGCCTGGGCGACAGAGTGAGGCTCCATCTCAAACACACACACACACACACACACACACACACACAAAGACACTCTTACCAAACTATTATGATTTGCCATGACATGATACTTCATCCCTGCCAGTGAACGAAGTTGTTTCCCACAATGATGACAAGTAAACATTTCCTAGAAGGAAAAATACTGCTCAGTGCTACGTTGTTCCACAGAGAGACAGAATGTCACAAAGTCCTACTCAAATGTTTTTGTCTATGTCTCCTTTATTTCTCAAACTCAACAGTCAATAAACCTCAAAATCCCAGAAACCCAGTGTCATGTCCTTGAGGGTAAAATAAAGGCAATTCACTTTTAAAATAGTAAGAATTACCATTTACTGAATGCCAGTATTTGCCGAGTAATGGGCTAGACACTTAGCCATGTGTTACTTCTTTCTTATCCTCTCCTAGACTATATAAGGTTTTTGTTATTTGTATTTATTATATTTTCTCCATTTTACAAATGAAGCTGAGGTCCACACATAAAAAGCTAAATGCCACACTAGTATGTGGCTAAGAGAACATTCAAACCTGTCAGATCCAAAGCCTATGTCTCCTTTATTATACAATGCTGCTTTTCATCCATTATAACCAGCATATCCAACACAGCAAAAGAGGTCTAAAGTTTGGATTTAAAAATCGTAACAGTCATGAAATGCCAAAATATCTAACCTGCTTGCAGTTTTCCATGTGTTTCTTTAAACCCTCTATGGTCTTCCTCCCCACTGCCTGGCAGGTAGGGCAGGAGACACTGCCTTTATCAACGATTTCTAAGTACCACTGCTCCTCCAAACTGCCTACAAAGGAGAGAAAGAAACACTTTGTAATCTGCAGTATTCTCCAGAAACAAAAAGCATAATCCCACAATTTAGGAAAGTGTCATAAAATGGTTTTTCCTTTTCCTGGTAGACTGTAACAAAGAGACTCTTGCTGGGTATAACTTCAAAAAGTAGTATTTTTTAGATCACATAGTTTCTGAAAACTCGTACTCATTTCGCCACGATAAAAACCCTGAGAACCACTCCAAAGCCCAGTGGCTTAAAGAACGAGGCAGCAACATTTTTGACAACAGGATATAACAACGGGATACTAAGAAATGTCACAGCCTGTCCACTGAGTGCTTCTATGTGCCTGAGACTATGCTAAATGTTTTTATCCATTTAATTTTCACAACAATTCTGACTGCCTTTATCATCTCTATTCATAGGCAGGGAAACTGAGGCTAGAGGAAGGTAAATAAATGAAGGCAGGTCAGAAAGTTAATGAAGAGCCAAAACTTGAGCAAAGGTCTGTCTGACTCCAAACTCGGGCCCTTAGTAACTGCCTCCTTAAAGAAATGCTTTAGTACCTCATTCCTTCACAGACAACACCAACAACAAATCAGGGTGTGAGAACTACATCCCACAATGGTTCCAGAAGAAAACATACCTGCTGCATAAACTGGTGGTTCCTTCCGAATGCGACGAGCCTGGGATTTGGGATTGGGCTGAGTTTTAGGCCGTTGCTTCCTCCCTGACACAAGACAGAAACTTGAAGCCCAACATGTCACCCTTGCTAATAGCAAAATGTCTTCCCTCCCCTTCTCTTCAACACCCTATTTTCCAGTCCCTCAACAGACTGACTGCCTAAGTCATGACAGAATGAAAGGGTATAAGGTGGCAGGCTGGAGACCATTCCCTCTTAAACAATTCAAAGGGCTCAGAGGTCACTAAAGGGCTCAAACTAAGGTCTCTTTTCCTTTTACCCTCAAAGAATAAAGCCCAGTCACCCAAGGAAAAAGAAGTAGCAAAGCTACTGCCTTACCATAAAGCTTATGCTTCTTCTGAGGAAATTCTCGATAGTCTTCATCTTCTTCCTGCCTGGGTTTCCTTTTTCCCTTGGTTGATACTCCACCTGACCCTGAAGTACCACACAAAAACAAAACAAAAACTCAGCACACTTTGTAAATGAACAGCTAGGCCTGCCTTCAAAACATCATTCACAAGACCATCAAAGGGAAAAAGCAACAGTGAACACAGGCCTCAGAAAATGTCTGTGAGATTTTTAGGGAAGCTGGTATAACTTCTCATTAACTGACTCAACCTCCCTCTTTCTTTTTATATTGCTATCCATCCCAAACCAACCGTTGTTCCTTATAAACAGTAAGGGCCTTCAGGCAATGTGTTTGGCTTAATCTTGATTTAAAACTAAAAAGGAGCACAAGAATTGCTCAAGATAGAGGGCTAGCTACCCAAGGACGCTTGAGACTGTGACCATCTAGAATATTCTCCCATAAATAACCCTTACACCAGCCCCTAAATCGTCAACAGAAGTTCAAACTAGAAGAAAAGCGGAAAAGAAGTTCAAATCCTACAAAGAGGAAAATCAAATGCTAAGTGTAACCTAGAGGAGTAAGATTAGCGGAATTTCACTCTATCAGACAGTTCATGAAGCTAACAGGATCCAATAGAACACCTTAAATTTTTTTAAATCACTAATGAAAAACAAATATCTGGCATTTAATACCCTTAAGAGGTATTTACAATAATCTCAAACTATAACTTTAGGGAGTGTTCCGTCTTTGGAATAAGAAGACGCTGATATTGATACCTTCAACATGAGAAGTAGCAGCTGGCTTGATCCTTCTCATCTTCATCCAGTAGGTAGATTTTCGAAAAGATGCTGGAAAATCACTCACTGGTTCACACGAAGAGGCAGATGATGAACCACTTAAGGAGTCATCATGAGGAATAGTGTACTGGAAACTATTATCCTTTATGGAGCACTGGGTCCTGCTACTAATACAACATAAAAATATACACCACAAAGGAAGGTCTGTAGCAAAATTTCTATACATTCTTTTATATTATAACCAAGTTGGTTACCTGTGCAGAAAACTAAGAAGCCTGCTTTTATTAAAACGGAATGTAAGTTGTAATCACCTAACAATAACAATAGTTGATCTAATACAACATGTGCAATTATTATCATTCTTCACTGTAATCAGAGAGTAAGGAGTACGCATAAATGATCACTTTGCAGTCCAAGTAGACATTCCTTCCTAGATTCATCTAAGAAAAGAAAGTAGCCAAAGCAACAAGGGCGTTCTGTGACCCTTCAGAAGACTCCCTGGATTTGTAACCTGGTATGACCCAGCCTCTCTATTTCTCTGACAGAGGCACGGTAACTCAAGGGTATCTTTAAGGGAAAGGAATAGTCTGTAGGGCCTAATCTGACCCATCTTCCTTCTCCCTCAGCATTCTCCCTAAACCCTGATGCCCCATCTTATTTAGGCAACATGATACTTAGCTTCCACAGCTAAAGGATGGATGCTATCTTGTATGAATTAATCTGGCCAGAGAATTCTGGTATACAGCTGAATCCAGAGTGCAAAATCTAAGACCAGTCAGTATTACAGTTAACAAACATGACTGTGTAACTACAAAGCAGCAGACATTCTTGTAGGTGGCTCAAGATGCAGTAGGGCAGCAGTTCTCCAAGAGTGGTCTAGGGACTCCTAGAACCTCCCTTTTCCAGCTTAATACCTGTAAGGCCTACTTTAGATGTATGGTTCAGAAAGATCCTTCTGGCTGCTGTATGGAGACAGCCCATGGGAGAAAGAGTAAACAAAAGGAAAAAAGGTTAACTTGAATTGGAATATTCACGATAACACTTTAGTTATAGAGCTAATAAGAATTACACATAGAGTGGTGGCTCATGCCTGTAATCCCAGCACTTTGGGAGGCCAAGGCGGGTGGATCACCTGAGGTCAGGAGTTTGAGACCAGCCTGGCCAACATGGTGAAACCCCATCTCTACTAAAAATACAAAAAATTAGCTGGGCGTGGTGGCGCATGTCTGTATTCCTGCTACTGGGGAGGCTGAGATAGGAGAATTGCTTGAACCCAGGAGGCATAGGCTGCAGTGAGTTGAGACCGCACCACTGCACTCCAGCCTGGGAAACAAGAGTGAAACTCCATCCCAAAAAATAAAAAAGAATTACACATAGAGAGGTTTGTCTGTGACCACCCTTGTAAAATGTGATAGATGCCTACTATGTTGCTATTAGAAGCAATAAACCAATTCTATACATAGAGACATGAACATAACTAAAAAGCATACTCTTGAATGAGAAAAGAAACAAAACAACATCTCTAGCACAATGTCAATTCAGCAAGCTAAAAACAAATCCTCACATAAACGCAACTTATTTTTAAAGGAGTCATTAATATTTAAGGACAAACATCACACTTGTTTATACAGTTTCCTCTAGGAGGGAAGGGATGGAAATGGGATGAGTAAACATAACAGAGACTGGTTATATCAGCATGCTACAAACAGAGAAGAATCAGGTTCAGCTCCCCGCACATGAGGTCCAATAGTACAGATTTAATACACAGAAGTCCTGGCTCTGGTGGGGCAGCTAACCCCACTAAGCCCCACCCCTCCTGCTGATTGGACTCTGTAAAGCAAATGAAAACAAGTAAATTACACGGGGAAGTCCAAGCTAGGAGAAGTGACCCAAACGGGATGAGTTTTCCAGTTCTATCTTTTTCCCTCATGTGTGAATCTGCAACAGGGATGAACCCCACTTGCAGAGCAGCATGAACAGCTTTAATTCTAGAAACTCCTTTCTTTCTGACCAAGAAAATCAGGAAAAAAGGTTCCTGTAGACCAGAGTTGGGGGATGGGAGAGGGGGAATGCTGGAGAGAAAGGCAAAAAACAAGAATCCCTTAAATTAGTGTATGAATCCACACAAGTCACAAGTTGACCTTAGCCATGAATGTGTGGCATGTACCCATACATACCAGCCTAGCAAAGACTCTGAAACCAAAATGAGATTTGAACGCCAATGTGACCCAAACCAAAGCAGCAAAAGCTTGGAGAACTGAAATAAGATTGGAAACACCTGCAGAAGTTTCAGACCAGCCCCTGGGCTATTCATGTATGGGACAGCCCAAATCATCATAGCAAAGACCTAAAGAACAGAACTGAGATTTTAACCAATGCCTTCAAAAAGGAAGACAGAAGTTTTGGCCTGAACCTAAAGCAGGGTTGCCTGCTAAAACAGAAATGGCAACATTCCCCAGAAGAATTATAACAGATCCAAAAATCTACACAAAAAAATATTCGCAATGTTGAGGATAAATTCCAAAATTACGCAACACATAAAGAACCAGGAAAATGTAAGCAATTTTCCTTTCTTTTTTCCTTTTTTTTTTTTTTTTTTTGAGATGGAGTCTTGCTCTGTTGCCCATGCTAGAGTACAGTGGCACAATCTTGGCTCACTGCAACCTCCACCTCCCAGGTTCAAGCTATTCTCCTGCCTCAGCCTCCCAAGTAGCTGAGATTACAGGCATGCGCCACCATGACTGGCTAATTTCTTTGTATTTTTAGTAGAGATGGGGTTTCACCATGTTGGCCAGTCTGGTCTCAAACTCCTAACCTCAGGTGATCCGCCCACCTTGGCTTTCCAAAGTGCTGGGATTACAGGCAGAAGCCACCCTGCTAAGCCAGTGTGAGCAATTTTTAAAGGAAGAGATGATCAAAACATGCCAACCCCAAGGTAATCCAGATGTTAGAACTATCAAATACTTTCAGTAAAAAGTATTTCCTTATAAATTTTTTTCTTATAAAAGAAAACACACAAGAAATGAAGGAAAAGGAAAAGGTAGGAATCATCAGCAAAGAAGCCATAAAAAAGAACCAAATGAAATCTTAGAACTGAAAAATACAATGTCTGAAATAAAAACTCATCAGATGGGTTCAGTAATGGAGAGGACAGAGGAAAGAGAGTCTGTGAACTTGAAGACCGATCAACAGAAATGACCCAGTCTGAAGAATAAAGAGAAAAAAAGATTGAACAACAGTCAACAGAGCCCCCATACCAAAAGTTCTAACCTAAGTGTAGTTGTAATCCCAGAGGGAGAGGAGAAAGACACTAAGGCAGAAAAATACATTTGAAAAAAAATGGTGGAAAATCCTCTACACTTGGTCAAAGACATAAATTTACAGATTCAAGGAGCTCAACACACACCAAATAGGATAACTCAAAGAAAAATATACCAAGACTCATCTTTTTGTTTGGTTTTGAAACAGAGTCTCGTTCTGTTGCCCAGGCCAGAGTACAGTGGCACATGGCTCACTGCAGCTTGAATCTCTCTGGCTCAAGTGATCCCCCCACCTCACCATACCCGAGTAGCAGGGACCACAGGTGCGCATCATCACATCCACTAAATTTTTGTGTTTTTTTTTCATAGAGATGGGGTCTTGTTATGTTGCCCAGGCTGGTGCAAAACACTTCATTATTATTACTATTATTATTATTATTATTATTTGAGACAGAGTCTCATTCTGTCACTCAGGCTGGAGTGTAGTGGCTCAAGCACAGCCTCCACCTCTCAGGCTTAAACAATCCTCCCACCTCTGCCTCCTGAGTAGTTGAGACCACAAGTGTGTACCACCATACCCAGCTTATGTTTTTTTTGTGTGTGTGTAGAGACAGAGTCTCACTTTGTTGTCCAGGCTGGCCTCAAACTCCTACGTGCAAGCAATCTTCCTACCTCAGCCTCCCAAAGTGCTGGGATTACAAGAAGGAGCCACAGTACCCAGTGAAGGCACATCTTAATGAAATTATTCAGCCAGGAAGGAGAGGGGAGAGGTGGGAGGAAGGTAAAGAGAGAGAGAAAAAAAGAATATAAATGTATTTATTACCACTGAACTGTACACTTAAAAATAGTAAAGATGGCTCATGCTTATAATCCCAGCTATTCAGAAGACGCAGGAGGATTGCTTGACGCCAGGAGTTTAAGATCAGCCTGGACAACATAGTGAAACCCCATCTCTTAATTTAAAAAAAGGGAGGGGGAGAAGGCGGCAGGCACGGTGGCTCATGCCTATAATCCTAGCACTTTGGGAGGCCAAGATCCACTTTAGAGAATCACCTGAGCTCAGGAGTTCAAGACCAGCCTGGCCAACATGGTGAAAACCCGTCTCTACTAAAAATACAAAAATTAGCCAGGTGTGGTGGCAGGCGCCTGTAGTCTCAGCTACATAGGAAGCTGAGGCAGGAGAATCGCTTGAACCTGGGAGGCAGAAGTTGCAGTGAGCCAAGATCACGCCACTGCACACCAGCCTGGGCAACAGAGTAAGACTCTATGTCTCAAAAAAAAATTAATTAATTAATTAAATAAACTAAACTGGGTGCAGTGGCTCAAGCCTGTAATCCTAGCACTTTAGGAGACTGAGGCAGGCAGATCCCTTGATTCCAAGAATTCAAGACCAGCCTGGGAAACATGGTGAAACCCTATCTCTATTAAAAATACAAAAAATAAGCCAGGCGTGATAGTGTGCATCTGTAGTCCCAGCTACTCAGCGGGCTGAGGTAGAAGAATCATCTGAGCCCAGAAGGATGAGTGGGCAGAGGTTGTGCCAGTGCACTCCAGCCTGGGCAACGGGAGTTAGACCCTGTTTCAAAAAACTATTGAAAGCCAACAATTTTGTTTTAAACTAGAAAGCTTCAGAAAAGTGACATATTACATTACAGAAAATAATTTAAATGACCATGGGTTTCTCAACAGAAACCCAGAAGACCAGAACACAGTACAGTAACTTTAAAATCAGCCAATGTAATGGTTCACATTTGTAATCCAAGCACTTTGGGAGGCCAAGGGAGGAGGACTGTTTGAGCCCACAAGTTCAAGAACAGCTTGGGCAATATAGCAAGACCCTGTCTCTACAAAAATAATTTTTTTTTTTTTGAGACAGAGTCTTGCTATGTCTCCAGGTGCCAGGCTGA